ATCTGACTGGTAAATTTTTTGCAGGGAGTTGTGCTAGGGCTGTGTAGCTGCCCGGCTATTTTTGGTTGCTGTTCGCTTTTCCCGTTTCAGGAGCTTCCCCTGATATTAATGGAAGCTCCTTGCCTGGAACCTTTAGGGACCAAGTGATGAAGATCAGCACAGAGGATCAGAGAGGAAAGTTTTTGCCTCGAGTGTCTGCGTTCAGATAGAAGGTGACAGTGTAATGTTGGATTTTTAGTTCTGTTCCTCTGCAGTGCTCTACCTAATTCTTATCATATGATATAAGATTGAGAGTTGCTGTATTACTTGTACTACCAGGGCAAAATTACTAATTTTTTTACTTTTAAAATGTAAGCATGATGTTTCCTTGATATTTTTGGTTGTGGGCACTATTATGATATGATCATTCTTTTGAGATGAGAGAATTAACATCTTATTTGATGGCAATGCCCACTGTAAGGTTGTCTCCTTAGTCACTTTGTATTTTTGATATGTATATTTTTCATCTTTTCCACCCCAGTTGCTGTAGAATTGCAGGAAAGTGTATATGCTTTCTATTTCACAAAACAAAATATCTTTGCAGTTACTACTGGAAACAGATGCACCACGGTTTTGGCTTGGAGCTTGTAGTCTGTTTGCCCCGTAGCTTTCTAAGTTAATATTCTTTTTTATTGTTCTCAGGTGGATGATTGCATCCTCGAAGATACAGTAGGAATTTGCAGGCCCCTGAAATCTTCTAAAAAATTTGCAGTGTTTAATAATACTTGTTTTATAAAATTCAGAAGATAATGAGATTGTATCTTTCTTGTAACTGTTCAGAAAAGCTTTTGTTACTGTTAATTTTACCTTCTTGATTTACTAGAGATGATAACATCTAAATATTCAAGTGTATCTTAGAAGTGGTGGAATAATTCGTAACTGTAAATCAGCTGAGAGTATTTCTGGTCCTCCTGAATAGAATTCCTGCTCAATGTTGGCTTGGCTTCATAAACTAGGACTGTTTTGGGAAGGAAGAAATACTCATTAATCACCAAGAACTGAAATAAAAAAGATCTTTTTTATCTCAACTTCAGAAAAACCGTAAGTGGACCGTCGTCTTGTTGAGGCTTGAAATGAGGGTTGTGAGCTGTGACTGTGCAGTGTCTGCACTCTCCGAGCCGTCTGTCCCCGTCAGCTGAGCTCATCTCCGTGCTGGAACAGGGAGTGTGCTCCAGCCAGGAGCGGTGGGACCAGCCTGTCAAGGAAGGACAGGCTGGTTCCACCTTCACTCAGTCGTTACTACTGGCCACACAGGCTGGTTTGAAACTCATCACCCACGAGGAAGAGTTTTCTAATTCCTGACTAATCCTTGAAGCCGCACAGTGCGTGTCTTTCTGTCATCTATACGATTTAATTGTAGCCTTAGATAGTGTTTAGCAGGTGCTTTTGTTTGTGTCTTTCAGCCCAAAATGAACAATTCCACCTTCACTCAGTCGTTACTACTGGCCACACAGGCTGGTTTGAAACTCATCACCCACGAGAAAGAGTTTTCTAATTCCTGACTAATCCTTGAAGCCGCACAGTGCGTGTCTTTCTGTCATCTATACGATTTAATTGTAGCCTTAGATAGTGTTTAGCAGGTGCTTTTGTTTGTGTCTTTCAGCCCAAAATGAACAATATCTAATTCCACTGAATTTTGACTTTTTCACTCCTGAATCCATTTGTTCTGATATTACTCCAGTGCTTTTTTTAGCATGAAGGATGAAACTGAATTTGTGACATTTTATTCTGTGTTGCTTTCCCTTTTTTGGAGAACATGACAGTTTTTGAGAGTATTACTGAGGGGAGAGATGTTGATCTCCTGTCTTGCACTAACCCAGGAGACAGAGGGTTGTGCAGTAGTACCAGGATTTATGTGAGCAGTAGAGAGCAGTCACTGAGGAGAGAACGGATGCCACTGGCTTCAGAGGGGTCTGTATTGGAGGTGTTGTGGTGAGTTTTTGCTGTGAGAGCTGAAGGATGCAGGAGCAGACATGGCAGGCTGTCCAGCACAGAGTGACATGATCGTACATGTCAACAGACCTGTCAGTTCATCCCGTGAAAAGTGGTGGCGTAGCCGGAGGCGAGGCAGGCGGGATGTATTGGTGTGGATGACGTTCAGGCAATCCCCTTGGCCGTCTTTTTTGTGTGCGCATACGTGCAGCTTGCTTGGGAATGGCCACAATGAACATTTCATCCTCCTCGGTTTATTTCGGAGTCGTGCCTGTATCTAAGCAGTGGGAATGAATCGAATGTGCCATCCAAGCTCGTCTGTTCTCAGAGCTCGTTTCCACAATATAGTACCCTCATGGAAACTGTTTCCTGTTTTCTGCTCGTCTCTGTTTCCTCCTACTTTTCTGGTGCTGGCCTCTTTGGTTTTTCTCTGTACACAGCCTCATTAATACTAGAATAGGAGAATTTTAGGTTTTTTTTCCTTTGTATTATCTGTTCCAATCTTCCTGGCTTTCTACCTTGTAAATTCTCCATCTTTTTTGTCTAATCTTGCCCATAGTGTCCTACGTCCCTGGAAAACACCTCTCGGTGCTTGTTTCTCTGCGGTTTCAATATGGCACATACGTTCCTCAGGCAAATCAAAGCTATTTGGGGATGCAGCATGACTGAAAAAAGCTATACAGCTGAGTGGCCAAAATCTGTCCTGTGAGCAGGTGACTCCTCTGACAGGGCTGCGTCCTGGAGCAGGCAGAGGGGCTGTGAGCTGGATCCTGCGTGTGGGAGCGCATGAACTGCTGGAGGTCTGGGAATTCCCTGGGACTCAGCTGCATGCCCAGCTCAACGCTGTTTGACAGCGAAGGGATGGTACCCACAGGCATCGTCCTTACCCATCTCCGAGCTGTGCCTGGAAATCATCCTTGTCATGGTTTGATGTGGAGGGGGGACACCCTGCTTTGGCTAGGGGTAGGAACTTTACTTCCAAGGACTTTACAAGGGAATGTGTTAATGACTTGCTGTTTGTTGCTTGGTCTCTGGTTTGTTTTTATTTTTATTTTCCCAACCTTAATGGATTTGAGCACTTTGTTATTACAGGGTTTTGTTATTGTTTTGTTTTTGTTTTTTCCCAGCAACAGATTTGCTTCAGCATGTAATTTCTATTTGTTGCCCCAACCACATAAATCTTTGATTACCTAGTGGAAGCAGTGGCCCCAACTTCCTTGACCTTGGATCTTTATTCCTTCCCAAAGACTGGGATCAGGAAGATAATTTATTTTTCTAGTAGTTTGCTCTTAGTGCAGACTGATGTATTTTGCATAAGGTGGTGAACTACTTCAACTGTGAAGAGGTTTTGTAGTGTTGATGTATGTAGTTGCCACACTACCCTTACATGAAAAAAAGTATTCCTCTCTAGTTGGTTGTTCTGGATTTGGAAGTAATAAACAGGCTGGATCAGCGTGAGCAACTGTAACTGAAATTACACTGACTGGAGCAGGAAAGATGCAATAATACCGAAAGCTGCCAGAGATATGAGCCACTTGCTTTTTATATGCATCATGTTTATCATGTGGAATCAGACCTGTAAATTGACTGAGCACTGGAACAGATTGCCCAGAGGGGTTGTGGAATCTTCATCCCAGGAGCTATTGAAAAGCCATCTGGACATAGTTCTGGGCAGCTGGCTCTAGGTGGTTCTACTCAAGCAGGAGGGTTGGACCTCCAGAGGTCCCTTCCAACCTCAGCCATTCTGGGATTCCGAAATTCAGAAAAATATATCCAGAATGATAAGCTTGTGATTCCAGGGAGAAAATTCTAGTGCTGATTTCTTTTCCTTCCTGTCTCTCTCTCCAGCCAATATGCCCTTAAATGAGAGCCCCAGTTCTGCCATCTGCTGTGGCTCAAGGACTTCTCAGACGTAGTTTTGCAGGCTTTTACGGTCTAAAGATTGTTGTGGAGGAGAGCTTTCGTGGCTGCTAGCTGGAGAACCCTTTAGGCTGAATGGCATTTTCCTGCTCTTTCACTGATGTTGAAGTGAAGGAATGCTGCCACAGCTTTAATGGGAAGTACTGCACAGTTAGGAGAAAACTGACTGCCCCCTATGTTGCTTTGCTGTCTGCTGGTTTATAAATTGTAATATTTTTCATTAAAAAAGAAGGAAAAAAAAAAGAAGTCTCAGGTCTCTGTGGGTCCCAGATCATTAGCAGGATCAATTCCTATTTACTGTGGAGATGAGAGGCTACAGTCTTGCATAGCCAGTCCTTCAGTTGCTGACACACCAAGCAAACAATGCAGAAGCAGAAGAGCTGGTGTGTGGCTACCTGAATTGCTATGCCTGGATTTGTGTCGTGATAGAAAATTATTCCCTCACTTTGGAGCCTGTGAAATGAATTCAGTCCCTTACAGGATTGGGTCAGAACAGTCACATCAGCCCCAGTACTAGAAATGTTAAATCCCTTCACTTGGGGCTTGCAGTGAAAAAGATTTTTTGGTTGCTTCAGGAAGTTGATAATAGAATATGAAACTTTCACCTCTGAAGAAGGGCTGGTAATAATTTGAAGTTGTTGACTTCTGAAGATGTATGCTCTGGTGCTGGTGTGAAAGAAGTTTGGTGTGACTCAGTCCAGTTCCACAGCCCTAGCCCACCACCACTGCTAACATGACTTGCAACCCTACTGGAGGTGCCAGTAGATACATCTGAGAGCCAAGTGTATTGAACAGACTGAATTTACTTCTTAGTCATGGATGTGGTTGAGTCACAAAGTTCTGTGTTCTCAGTAAACACTCTAAATGTTCTGTGAATAAATAGAAGAACCCAATTTACAGAGGGTTGTAAGACTGTACGTTGTTAAGGTGCCGTTCTTCTGCTACGGCTAGTCTTAAAATGGCTACGAGCGTCCCGTTTAACCTTTCACTGCTTGAACTTCTCACCCCCTGCAGAACGGGGTTCATCGGGTTGTTAAAATTTGATTATAAATTGCTCTGTAATGCTACATAGCACGAGGCATTCTCAGTTCTTTGCTTTCCCTCTCTAGGGTGGATACATGCGGTTTATACTCCGGTAGATTCTCTGGTGTTTGGTGGAAATATCCTGCATAGCTTTAATGTTCCCATGCAGCTTCGCATCTATGAAATTGAGGACAGAACAAGGGTAAGGATACTGGATTCTCTTTTTAACTGAACGGTTCTTTGTGACTACGACCTGTCATAGTCTTTCTCTCGTGTTCCCTCCTGACAAACAAGAACTGACGGGATCTCTGTGTCAGAGTCATTGAAACAGGAGGTAATCGTGAAGTAATGAGACTTCCAAACGTTGGCTATTTTTAGTGGGATTTACTCATCTGTTTTCCCCTGCTTCCCACAGACGTGTCCCTTCTGTGTCTTTTGTCTGCCTGTTAAACTGTCGTAAACACCTTCCCTTTCGCACAAGAACATACTGCGCTTTACAGACCTTGGTACCAGTACTTGTGGTAACCCCCTGCTCATCATCCCTGTGTGCACACCTGGAACACATACCCCAGCCTGGAGGATTAGGATGGTTCTACTGTCCACAGACAAAGCTGCACGGAAGTTGTGTATGAAATGACATCATCTATACTTTGCAGGATTTTCTTCTGCAATGACTCGATACTATGTAAGATTTTTTTTGAACAAAGAGAGTCTGGGGCAGGACATTAATTTGAACATCGTGATGTTCATCTGGCTGTAGCACCTACCTGATAGGAGTATTACATCTTGGAGGAGGTTACTCAGGGCACCTAATTGTCATATACTTTGCAGTTTCATAAAGCAGAAGAATCTGAAGGAAGTGCCACTGTTTCAGTAGGCTATTAAATAAGGCATGCAAGGCAGTCGTAGCATTCTGATGTGAAGGTGGATGGGTGGTATGTGCCGATTCAGATGGGGACCTGAAGATGGATGGGTGGTATGTGCAGATTCAGGTGGGGACTTTTTGTTGCTGACTGGTTTGGAGGCATTGCACTAAGACAGTGCTGGTAAACCACTGGCACAGGTGCCAGCTGTGGTGGTAATGGAGATTTGTGCTGGCAAAATGGCAGGAGGTTGCAATTATTTACTAAAAAGTCTTAAAATGGTGTGTCTTGGACATCAGTACAGTTTGCTGTTATTTACCTCTACAAGAGGGCATGATGCTGGGTCCAAGTGGGCTTACCCCAAATTGCTTTCTTTGCAGTAAGAGTGCATGGGCCTGGAGCAAATCCGTGGTGTTTTGCAATACATCTCTGAGTCAGCAAGAGGAAGGGTGTCCTCCCGTCAGCCTCCCTTGCTTCACGGGGGGCACAAGGCCTGGTAATCTTCACATTGCAAAACAGTGGTGGGAGCAGTTGGTTTCCTGGAGTGATTTTAATGAAGAGAAGGAATATTAAGCAGAAAAATGAATTCTTAGTGTAAGAAAAATGAAGGCAAAAGCTGGAATTCAGGGGAATTGGAACAGAGGGAATGTAGCAGAAGTAGAGGTAGAGAGCAGAGTAGAGTTCAGCCTGACTTTGAGAAGGTGGCCCAAGGCAAGAGTGTCAAGTGTCTTAAGAAAGCGTAAAGGGACTTGGACAGGAAAAAGTTGTGATGGCAGAAGCAGGACAGGGCTCCCTGTGGCTGGACAGGGGTGCCAGGCACAGGAAGGCTTTCAGAGTGACTGGAAATAAGAGCCAGCCATACATGCCAGATGTGTGTGCTGTAGGTGCTCAAAAGTAGTGTGTGTTGTTGCCAGGAGGGATGCTAGCGCAGGCAACTTGCATGGAGGATGGAGGAGACTAGGAGGAGGGATTGATGGCAGAAACAAGTTACTGCCATTGATGTCTGTGAGGAAGATGGGAAGGAAATGCTCTTTTTCCTGAAGTTGTATAAAAGCTGACGTTTTGTTCTCACAGGACTTGAGCAACCCAAGATCACACACCTTGGGTTAGAACTGCGCAGTAGTGCTTCATGTCAGGCCCTTCTCCTTGGGAAGCTGCGTGCAGCTTTGATCTCTTAAGCTTTTATACCAGGAGACAGATTTCTCCCTAACAGTCAAATATTTTGGTAACTTGGAGGAACTTACCAGCCAGTTACACTAAAACACCTCTTAAAAGTCAGTAGCACCCTGATTGTATGGGGAGGCTCTGGGAGTTGGGTATCTGCCTCTTTAAAAGTGTCTTGTCACAGTTTTTTGGAAAGGGATACCACAACATTTGGAGTCTCGAATCAGACCTTTACTCTTGTCAGTTTTGGTTTAGATTTTCTTCAAAGTCTGTGTAGTTCTGTATTATTTTCCCTCCCAAAATACTCAAGTGCTTTAAAAAAGATTAATAAAAACCAACAGCCCTGAATTTCTACGACTTCATGGAAACAATTTATGTGTGTTATGCACAGCCTGTAGCTGTGTTCACAAACCTGTGCTCGTAGGCAGCCCTGTAGTAACAAAGCTGTGTGAACAGTCGAACAATAGCAAGAATTTCTAGGCAAAAACAGACTATAAGCTGTGCAACTAAGGCATACCGAAGTTTGATAAAAGGCAGGACAATCAATACTGTTGTTTAGGAATAACAACACCCCCACCCCTAAAAATATCATACAGGAATATTGAAGGGACAAATATTTTCAAAATAGGATTCTAGTGTGTACCACTTTCTTTTCTTTGCCAATCAAATTTTGTAGTTTCTTTGTTCAGAGAATTCGATTCAGACACTGGCTGGTGTAGCAGACTCAGTACAGTCTGTACTTCCCACGGATTCGCCAGTGCAAACATGCTGCAAATGACTTTCTCATCAGTATTGATCTTTCCATTGTGTATTGCACCCAAGTAAGTTACATGATGTGATTGACGAAGTAATTTGCCACGCTCAAATCAAAGTGTAATACAGGGGTGTTTCCCCTCTTGGTTTTGCACAGAGCAATTTGATGGAGGTTTCACTGTGTTTAAACCTGCCATATAATGCTTAATCATCTTTGATTGCTGATATTCAAAGTCATTTTTATGCTAGGTGTAGCTGTTATTGTCTTAGCAGTTAAGACAAGAATAAATACATGCTTGAAACAGTAATGCTGATTTACAGCCTGATAAAATTGCCTAGTTTATATACTTGTCGTGCTTTTTCTAGCTTAATTTCTCATATCCCTGGGAGACTTTTTAAGAGGGTTATAGCCATTTAAAAATAGTTTTAAGGAGTAATAAAAACCATGCCTATTGTTGGAAACATCTCCTAATGTGCAATTGAGGTAAACAAATATTCTCCAGCCTTACAGTTTGTAGAGACTCTCCTTTTGCAGTCTGGCTTTCCTAGAGGCCAATTAGCAGCTAGTCAAATAGGCCAAGCTGTTTAGCTCTCTGCTAGACCAGCTTGAGTAGCTGCAAAGCAGGCTGCCATGCAGGGATTCATCATCTTGGCATAGGAGTGTTACAGCTCCCTGTTACTGGAGAGAAGGAATGTGTCAAACTTACTCCCAACTCATCTAAATTTAACTGCGTTAAAATATTTGAACACGGATAGGGGCGAAAGCACTCAAAATATATACGTAAGGTGGTCACTCACAGATGATGGTGTTCGCTACTGATTTTGTTTTCTGGAATGTAAGATAATGTTTGAAGTGGATAGATTAATTATTTTGTAAATAATCATAGATCGTTTTTCAATATTGTGATTAGATTGATCAAACACAAGTGGAGTTTTCATGGACATAGTGGAAGAGACTAACACTTCCGTAAGGAAAATGTGTGCCTTACTTGCTTAGGGTTTTTTTGGTTTTGGAGGGGGATATAAGTCTCTAAAATTATTTCACTTTGAACTGAAGAAATGGATCATATTCCATAGAGGATTTTTCTTGCTGTACAGGAATAATTAAAAAATTTATTCGGTGGATTGTAAATTATTAATCACAGAAGTTAGAGCTGGAAATGCCTATTAGATGATCTAGTGTATTTCCCTGCTGATGGGGGATTTAGTCCTCTGGCAGCATCTGTACCAGATATTACACAGAACATTTTTAATTTCTTCCTTTCTCTCTTTCTTTTATTCCTCCCCACCTCCCCATACGAGTTCATTTGACCAGAAGTGTACCATGGAAAAAGTATAGACACGTTCATAATGCAGTTCACATCCATTATGATTAATAAATGTCCAAAATTATCATAAAGAACGTACTCCTCTATACTTTTCCACAAGGCAAACTTTAAAAGATTTTTGAAGCACTCTTAGGTTTGCTTTACTGGTAAAAGGCACTGTAGGTCTTTGCACAGTATCTCTTGCTACATGTGGTAGCCCTTTCTTCTGAAGGTTTGTAAAAGCAGAGCCTTCTCGGGCAAACAGTGAATTGCAGAGGCATGGAGGGATTTGCTGTGGGTTGGAACATGGATAGTGAGGCAATTAGGAACTCAAATTGAATATTAAAGATTGATATACATAATGGGAGCACTGCATGCATTACTGCCTTGTCTTTCACATTGAATTAACATTGGTAACAACTAAATTTGGTGAAGCTCAGAATCTGTCAACAAATGTTGAGCAATGATGTCTTTAATATTCCCAGGCATGTGGCTGAAAACCTTTTGAAGGCTGAGGGGTGGAAGGCGGCTTCCTGTTTGTAAGTCAATTCTTTGCAAATTTTGTTTCCTGCAGTGCTCTCTTGGAAAAATTTGAGTTCCTTTATTAGCATATATTTTAGCATGGCTAATTTCCCCTGTGTTCCGTAATAGTGATAAGTGACTCGATCTCTTCTTTATGACAAACAACTAAACCGAAGGAAAAATCTTCTCCAATGCAAAAAGGCCCTGGAGTTAAATGTTCTCACATTTAGGGGGATGTTGTTTGGTTTTTGCCTTTTTTTTTTTTTCTCCCCTTTTTTCTTCTGATATGTGTGCTTTGTAACACCAAACACAGGGAAACATTTGAAAAGGTGCAGCATCGCTGGGTGCATGACCCATAGCAACCTGCAGTTCGGATTCGCCAGCTACCTTTGTGTTGCATTTTAGAGATCTTAAATTTTGGAAATTGCTGTGGAGTATTTAAATCCTACACCGTGATAACATTTAGTGGGACAATACAGTATATTTTCCCTTTGTTACATTTTGTTTTACTGCTAAAAGTGTTTGCATTTCTTGTGCCCTGGAAACAGAGGCTTTGACTGTCCACCTTGGGGACGGTTTTGCATTTTAGTTAGTCATTGATGTGCTCAGTGCTTATATCTCTACGCAGATATTTCAACAGAGCCTGCTTTGCAGAGCTGAATCTCAGTTTCCAAGTTTCCAGGTGCTGGATGAGTGGTTCTGTTTAGACTTCACTGGTTTTTGGGTGATCAGAGGTGGGATGGTGTTTTGGGGTTTTGTTTTTCAAAAAGGGCTTTCTGAGATAATGCTCCTTTCTGGTGCAGTCCAGCTTTTCATTAAGGTGGGTGGACACTGCTTGGCTAGGTGAGCAGTTCGTATCCATAGAATATCTTAAAGCAGTTCCTGTAATCCCAGAGGAATTGCAAGCCTGCAAAATGCAAATTTTTGTGCCACCAGGAGAAAGAAGTGTACAGCGTAAGTACAAGTGCATGCAAGATGCATGGCATCCATTTTTAACAAATCACAATAAATACACATTTGTTCTTGCTTATTAGGAGCTTCCCAGAGTCTTCTTTGGTATAGTGACCTCCCGTAGGTAGAAAACTGTGTGGGAAAGGAAGGAAACCTGCTTTGTTTTCTTTTGAATCTGAAATAATCTCAAAAAAACATAGTGTTGGAGAACAAGCTTTTTGTGTGAGAACAACAGGTCTGAGATAGAAGAAGGTGCACAGTTTGACAGGGTCTTTTGTCAAAATCCTGCTTTTCTATTCTGTTTGTGGCAAAAACTAACTTGCTACCAAAATATTAGGAGTAAACCACATAAGGGTTTTTTACTTTTAATGTGTAGTTATCAATAATCAAGAATTTGTGTGATCATTTGTTTCATCAAATGGTTGTGAAAACCATAATTGCAAAAGATGTATTTCCTGCTTGACTCATTTTAGGTAATGCTGCCATTTTGATAAAAATCATGTGATAGTGTTTAGGAAATAAATAAATAAAAAACCCAGACAAAAATCACCTTTGTTTTAACTTGAATTTTAGTGGCTAACATCTGTATGTGACCACCCTATGTTTATACAGTAGGTAAATAATACTGTAGGGGCCATCCATCAGTTTCATGATTTCACAAGAACGCAAACCCTTTCCTCTCCTGCCACCCCAAGAGGATACAAATTAGTGAACCAAGAAATGATGCTATCATGGCAGGCAGGCAGGCAGGCTCCTCATTTGGTATGCTGAAGGCATACATCTCACTCGGCTCCCACCCTCTCTCCCCTCCCCCTCCTGCATACTGTTTGTGCTCTTGATAACATGATGAGAATGATGACTGGCCCTTGTGCTGCAAACTTCTCGCCCTTCCCCATGGACTGACAGTCTTGATCTTGCTTTCAGGTGCATGCCAAATTCCGTTATCCTTTCTACTATGAAATGTGCTGGTATGTTCTGGAGAGATACGTGTCCTGTGTGACCCAGCGCTGCCACCTCAGCAAAGAGTACCAGAAAGAATCAATGTTAATTGGTGAGTGAATCCTTTGAGTGCATATTCGGAACTGATGCTACCACCTTAGGCTAGTTACTGCTTTGGTTTCTGCAAAGCAAATTATAAATTGAATTGGAGAACTGTAGAAATTCTCATAAACTGTTTCTTTATTTTGGAGTGGGGAAGGTTTTGACTCCTAAGCATTTCCATGAAGCACGAACCTACTTCAAGTTATATTTATTGAGCATTCCCTCAGCGAGTGGATCCCAGAAAAATGATTTTTGGATGCGTTTATTCCTTGGTTTCAGAAATGTTTGTGTTGAGATGATGTGCCAAACAGTTGAGGATTTACTGCCGTGTTTGGCATGGTACCTTAGTAGCCAGAAATGTGTGCATTGCAAATGTGCTCTGGTGGGATGGATGTTTAGTCCTTTTATAGATCATCTCCTCTACAGAATGCGTTATGGTCACTAAACCTGGCTTCTTTCTCTTATCTTTTATTTCACCTCTACTTAGTTCTCTCTGTTTGGTGACTGACTTCTAATTCTGCAGAATAACAAACCCAAGAACACACATACACAAATCTACATGATCTGTAACCAAAGTGCAGGGAGGTCAAAGAAACCTTTGCAACAATAGCTGAGAACCATAGCAGAGATGGATAGATGTGCCTGAAGCAGGGAGGCATTGCCTTGGCACCGGTGTGAGCTTTACATCAATGTGTGACAATTCCAGTTGTTACCTTGCTCTTTTCCCTGCCTTGAATGGAACGAGACAGGCCGTGTTGCCTCCCTGCTTTTGAGCGCAGAATGGCTGAAAGTAGCGCAAGCACCAGCTAAATCTGAGTTTGTATGTGTTAAGTGTGGAGGAGGGCTGAAGTATTTCTGTGTCTCCTGCTCCCTGAGTTGCCACTTGGGGTGAACCTGGCATGGTTGGAACTGCCCTGGGTTCTGGGCAGAAGAGGGAAATGATCACCTACTAGCATAATTCTTAGTGGAAGGGACTGGAGAAGTTATGGGCAGATGTCACTCTGCAGTGAGTTTTACTGACCGAGAATAACTTGAGGGAGCTGATAGTCCATGTAGGTAGGCCAGGGAGATTTCTTGGGGTCACTGGGAATTTGAGTGCTTCACATTTTGTGTCTCTTTGCTCTGTGAGACCCCGATGAGAAGGGGTAGTTAAACAGGAACTCTGTGTGGAGGAATTTTTCTTGTTATGTTAGATCATCCTAGAGGAAAGGATGAATTAGCCCCTTGGGTCAGCTCTTCAGTGATAACTGCATTCCTTGGAAAATAAGGAACAACCTTCTGTTGTCTAAATTGCTGGCATGGAAAGAGGCTCGTCCTGCAGGCAGGGTGTGGGTGCCAGATCGCTGAGGTGTAATTTCAGAACAGATTAGATGCAGAGAGTGGATGGTTCAGGATATTGAGATGGGACTTTTTCCAGCTAAATCACCAGTGTGAATTCCGGCCCAGCTCAGTAATTACTGATAATGGTGATCCCCACGAAATGTTCCTCAGTGCAGTTACTAGCTGAGAGAGACTCAAATCATACAAAAGTTCACTGAGAACCAGAGATGTCCAGTGTCTAGAGGGAAAAGGGTTGTTTTGCGTGACCAAAGGGTGCCAACTGCAACAGCATCAGGAAAAGGAGCTTGGCTATTTGAAAAATACTTTGTTGTCTTCTGTGGTGGCTTCAGTTGGTCGACTGGAAAGTGAATATAAAACTCTTTTGCTGTTGTGTGGGCACAGTCTTATGGTCATTTCAAGCTGCTGTGAGAAACATGCTGCTCTCACGAGACTGTTCTGTTTTGTGAACTGTGTTGTGCGGCTGCCCCGTGAGCTGAATCAGTCCAGTGATCAGACTGAAAATTAACCCTATCAAGAAATGACCGTATCTGCTCTGGGTGGCATCGATGAGCTGAGCTGCCTTGCAGCCTTACAGCGTGGCTGCGGGTGCTGAGTAGAGGTAGGTGCTGGGAATGTCTGGCTGGGCAGATCTTAAGCTGTTGTTACATGTCTTGAATGGATCGGTACTTTCAGCTCACCGAGTGGTGTGTACTGACAGCGTGTAGTTCATCCACCTGCCTGCTATCTCTTGACTTCAGAGTATTAGCATGCTGATAAAATCTCTGACATTGACATCCAGGGCCCTTCTCTCCAGGAGAGACAGATGTATGCTTTTTTTTTTTTGTCAGAAACTTGCTTTTTATTTCTTGGCAGAATCTTAACCTTAAAATATTTAACTGATTGTGGTTCCAAAGCCCAGATCTGCTATATCTACTGGATCTTTCACTTTGGCATTTGTCAGATTCAAAGGAGTAAAGGTACATTACTTACCTTTCCAAAGCTGTGATGCTTTTTTCTGCCTGAGTAATACTGTTTCAAATACTTGCTTGTCTTTCCTTTTAAGTGGTCTCAGTGTCCAGCCTCTTGACTCAAATAAATCTCTGCGAACTGCAGTCCTTGAATTACGCTTGTTTGCTCCATGGTGTCTGTATCCTAATGTCATTCACCTGCTGTGGGATAGGAGAGCCAAATGAGGTCAGTGTTCCAAAACCCCACCACTTTGTTTTCAAGCTTTTCTTCAGAACTACTAAGGTCCTTAAATTGTCTCTTCCTTGGAGACTTCTCTATATGCAAGCAATTTCTTGATTTCCTGTGAGAGAGTATCCTTTGAGAAAGAATTTCCCATTATTCTCCTTAAAGAGTAATGAAACAAAGTACTTAACTTCTCTGCAGACCCCTTAATAGATTTAATTGTCTTCTGTCCTTCTCGGTGTAAGAAAAAATTCTTCACATCCTTGTATTCATTTTCAGAAATTTCTCTTGAATAATCTTAATGTTTGTCCTAATTTTTTGTAATAATTCCTTTGACATAATTTGTTCTAAGTGTCTACTTCTGCCTTTCCTTTTGATTACTAGAACTTGCTATTTTTCACCCTTGAGTTGTGCTGCTTTTGTTTCTTACACACCTTCTGATACAGTGGTCTTCCTGGACGTTAGAAGCTAAGAAGCAACAACTGGTTATTAGCTGAGGAGGACATGCACCAGCGTGAGCACAGGAGGCTGCCCACGCTCTCTGGGGCTCACAAGGTGGTAGTTCTCTTAGAATTGGTAGAGATTCTGTTCTCTTGCATGAAAAAAGGAGATTACTGTGGTAATAGAGAACACAGTTCTTTAGAGAACACAGAAAACCAAGTTCATCAGCAGTTGTGTTTTAAGGATATCTTTAGACTCTTCATACTAGGTTTTCATTACATAGTATTTATTTGCTTTGACATGAAGATTGCTAAGTTCAGAGTGACTCTTTCAAGACATTGTCTACTCATGAAAATGTATTGCTGTGATTGTGTTGCCATACCTCTGTCCCTGTAGTTGTGTGCTAGTGTGGCAGCTTACATTGTTTGTAATTCTGTTTTCTGAATGTCTTAACTCACAGAACTTCAGACAGGAAGAGAAAAACCACCTCAGTGTAGGCAAGGCTAAAACCCTGAGTGTTCCCACTGCCTAAATAAAAATGTCTGCTCTTCTAAATGAGTTGGAAGATGATGACTGTGGCTTCCTTTTCCATTCTTCATGCCCAGAATGAGTTTTCAGGCAGTTGCTTCCCAGTTAGTGTGTGAGGCTGTGTTCTTTTTCAGATCTGTTCTGCAGAAGGGCAAACACTCAGGGGAATGATGACATGACAGCAATCACAGGCTGCTCTAAAAGCACACAATCTTTCTTTCTCTCTCTTTTTTCTTTTCCTTGTCCCTTTCAACTGGCACGTTTGTCCTGCTGGCTGAAATCAGAAAGGGATCCTATTTGGGTTTCCTACTAGATTTGAACATGCGCTGTTTCGGGATGGATACGTCTTCATTATTTTTACTCGTGTCATGAATGAGTCTGTACTGAATGTTTTCAACCACAATTGACCTTCAGTGAGATACAGATCTTGAGAGTGAGCTGACAAAGAGTAATTGGGAGAAGATACTGGGCTATCAGAAATGTGCTTTCTCTGTAGCTTGCAGCTTTTAAGATTCCCATTGCTAAAATTTTAACAGGATGGCTCTAACTGTATGTTAAGCCTGATGGATGAAGAAATTATGCCCTCTGGCTTGGTGAAGAAGCCATGTCTTTTTTTTCCTCCCTCTTCTCAGGGGATAGAATAGATTTGCTCGTGATAGACAAATACTGGACTATATTGAGTGATTTCTGTGTCAGGTGCTCCATGCAGTATTACGTTTCCAGTATGCTCAGGGTTTTTTTCCTGTTAATGAAAATGTCATTGCTGTCTTTAGCAGACCAATAGGAACTGCTGCTCCCAAGTCACAGTGTCAGGGTTTGGAGCTGGGAATGACAAGGTAGATAGTACTCACTGGGCTGTTCTAAAGAGTTTAGAAAGATTTCACAATTGCACCTCATCCCTCTCCCTGTCTTTGAAGTTCTGTAATACAGCAAGTTGCTTTTCAGCAAGGAAAGAAACCGTCTATAATTATCTTTCATGTACAAGTGAATAACTGTGGGGAAAGTTAAGTGATTTGCCCAGAACCACAGGGCAGTGAACTGCTACAGGAAAAAAGGTATTTCTAGCTCCCTGTCCTGCGGTCAATCTGTGCTCCTCTTCACTGTTATATCACTGACTGGTTTTACTTGTTTTGAGATGGAGAGTGGTGAAGGTCTTTTTACACTGAGTCGTATGGGAGCCCAGACTGGATAACCACTCTGAAACTGGAGTTCTAACCTGGTGTTGGCTGGTGCATTGACTCAGAAGAAGAAACCATAGTTGCACTTAGCAGGAGCGCTTTTCCATGGAGAGACTTTATAAACCAAAAACCTCCAAGTCAGTGGAACCCTGGTAATACAGTATTTAAAATGCACTTCTCGACAAAGTAAATGCAGATTACGCTTATGTAGGGCCTCAGCTCACAGCAGAGTAACACTCAGTCAGATACTGTTTTCATTAAAATGAATAAATAAAAATCATGGCATGTTGCATTACAACAAAACCACAAAATTGAACTTTCCTCACCTTGAAGTTATCCTTCCATTACTGTTTCCCTTGGCCTTTTTTTTTTTTTTTTAATTAGCAGCAGTAGCAGACAGTTGTTGTCTTTTGAAAGCAGTCCACACTTAATCTGGTGCTGCAACAGTTCTGTAATCCCCTAGTGCTCCAGAATAGGCTGATGCACTTCAGGTTAACAGCAAGCCCTGTCCCCAAAGGTGAAGTTAGGCAAGGCGGCGTGTAACTGCCAGGCGTGCAGAGAACCGGCCACAGGGCACTGGTTTGGTGACGGTTCGTTTTGAGGTTGGATTTAGATGATTTTTGTCTGTCCATACCCAGGGTGGGTGGCACAGCAGGGCCTGTCTTGCGCAGGCAGCTGGTGGCAGGGACGAGGTGGCAGCCGGCGGAACGGAATTGCCGACCCCTCCGTGTGCTTCCTTCTGGTGGGAATAGGCCCCCAGTGTGCTGCGGTGTTCCACTCCTCTCTTGCCTTTCGTTTCCATAGCTGAAAGCAAAGAGACAAAAACTGGAGATCTCTCTTGAAGGTCGTTTTCTCTTGGCACCGGCGTTACTTGGAGGCGTTCACACCTCCATAACGTGATCTCCCTCTTTCTTCTGGCCTTATCTGTGCTTGCGATTTGCCCCAGTTGCAGCCCTTAGTTCCTGTTCTGCACAGCCACAGCGTAGAAGACAGAAACGTGATTTTCTTTGTGCAGATTTATACCAGTTTCCGTTAATGACACTGTACTGGTAGCATAAGGGTGTGTATCTGCTTTCACCTTCTTCTGTTTTATCATTGTTTTTGCTTCGACCATCTAGACTGGGCTTTTGTGCTTCAGTCAGTTGTAAAATAGCTCACCGAGGCAGTGTGGCTCAGAGAAGGGGCCCCAGCCATGGATCCGAGAGCCTGGATTCTAATTCCTGGTTTTGCCCTAGATTTGATGTGTGACAATGAGCAAATCGTGCTTTCTCCCAAGCATCTGTTTCCTCAGCTGTAAAATGGGAGAATGACATAAGCTGATTATATAGTCCTTTGAGGTGGATAAGTGTGCTAGCTACTGTGAACAAAGGGAAAAACAGTGTTAAATGAAAGTTGGATAACCTGGTGGTTTTTAAATGTTCTGGTTAAGATATTTTCTAATCCTGTTTATTTTTCTGAGAGAAGCACGGGGGTGTATTAGCACAGACCAGCGAGGAGGAGCTGCTTTGGAGTGCTGTGTGCCACCACCTCAGCACACAAAATAAACTGTGCTGTACTTCTTCATGGCGAAGGATTTTTGGAGGGGTGCAGGGAGGAAGTTAGCCTGCACTGTGGATGGAGCTGCACTTGGCTGTGCCCAGCCTTGCTGGTAGCTGGTGTTTTTTGTGACTGCCCTCTTTCACAGGCATTTCAGCTTAAATGTGCCTTTCAGGGGAAATTTTATGGCCATTTTTGTTCTGAGGAAAAATGCAAATGTGAATGAAGGAGTAGACTGGACAGAGATGCTTGATTTTTGCAGACACTGTAGCAAGAGCCTGCTCTCAGGCGCTGACACACAGAGGTGCACCTGGCCTTACAGAGGTGTTATTTGAAACTGCAAAGCTAAAGCCTGCCACTGCCTGTTGCATTTTTGTTTCCCAGCTGACAAGTAACACGTACATTTTGCAAGAAGGTGGTATAGACTATGCCAGAGACAAGGAGCTTCTCTGTGATAAGGATGGATTTGCCAGCTTGCAACTGGGCTTCAGCGTTTGTTTTGAACCTCACTTAAACAACCGGACGCTGAGCTTTTTCTTTAATGTCCTTTTAATCCTTCCTTAAGCATGATTCACATTGTCCTAATCCAAAGCTACTGCATGGCAAAGCATGAAAGCTGTGAAAGGAACTTTTCTTTAATTGTTCAGTCACTTTTTCTGTGTGACTTCTGTTTCCTTTGCAGAGTGTTTTTGTTTGCAGCTTGATCTCATACCCATTTCAGCCACTATTAAAGTCCACATTGACTTAACTGGGTGTTACCAGTGTTAACTGTATTTTCCACAGAAAATCCTGCTGTTGCTAGCCTGCATTCAATGTTGTTCACTTAGTAAAGGAAATTGTGTCTAATAAATAAGAAAAGATGTGTGCTTTAGGGATTCTTGGCCACTACATTGCTTTCACTGCTTGACTGCATGGAGTTGGGTAACAGTTGGGATTTTTAGGGGGAAACTTAGTGTAAAACTAAGATTAATAATTCTTTAGACTCAGAAACTTGCCTTTAAATTTTCCTGAGAAGTGCCTAAAATGTATCAGAGGCGGCATTAAGAAAAACAGTATCATGTAACTCCGTGATGGTCCCTGCATTTCTCAATGTCTTTGGGCTTCTTGTGTGTAAAATAAGCATAGTTGTAATCCTCTGTCTCGGGAGAGCAGTGAGTATTCATGCAGTAACAAGTGGTGGTTCTTGTTTTACCAACAGTCGCTCGCAAAGAGGAAAAGTATGGAGAAGGTGATTTTGTGCTGCGCAGAGATCTTGGAAGAATGATGATGTACAGCATTTTAGCATGCTTTCTCCCATTATTTTCCCTCCCCTCTTTCTGTGCTAACTCTCCTCTTGGAGCTCTAAGGCTGCCGAATCTGGTCTCTTTCGGATTTGTGGCAAAATTAATTGTGTGTGACTTCAGAGCTCTGCCTACCCGTAATTGAAGGCATAGAGGACTGAAGCTTTGAAGGAAGCATAATTTTTGCCTAAATGTTTTCCAGTCATTTGAACTGAGTAGATGTTAATGAAAACCAGCATTAAAACAAACAAACAAACACCACCCCACCACCCCTCAAATTAAAAATCAGCTGAATAGAGCCCATTCCTGTCACATACTTACTAGGCATTGTCCAGTGCCCTTTTTGAAAGGCAGCGCCTAGCCCCAGTGGTAGAGAAGTGTTTAAGCTGTGAATTACGTCAGGTGAAGGTTCAACTTTCTTTTTCTAACTTTCAGATGCAAAAAGAAAACGCAGCACAGACAGCTATTCATCAGATTCGTGGTTAGACATGGATGAAGAATCTTGTGATGCCCATATCCGGGAGGAGAAGGATGACAGCTTGGATAAGAACTCCAAATCCTTGGTGGATGGCTCCTCCTCGCCCAACAGCACACACTCAGAAGGGAAGGAGGGTGCAGGAAGAAAACAAAAAACGACAGTAATGAGATACCTAAAAAGAACTTTGTCTAATGAGTCAGATGACAGCGTAAAATCAACGACCCCCACGGACTATCCCAAAACACCAACGGGGTCTCCAGCTACAGAAGTTTCAACCAAATGGACTCACCTCACAGAATTTGAACTGAAGGGTTTAAAAGCCCTGGTGGAAAAGCTTGAATCTCTCCCAGAGAACAAGAAGTGTGTTCCAGAAGGCATTGAAGATCCACAGGCTCTCCTAGAGGACATGAAGGTGGGTGTAATAGCTTGCAGATCCACACAAACTATATTCTGTGAGCGTAGAAGACAGCAGGAGATCAGAAAGCAAAGTTCTGCAGCAGAGGGTTGGCAGCTCGTGTGTAGTGACCAGCTCGTATCAGCCTGCTATGCCACAGAGAGGGAAATTATGCCGCTAACAAAAGCCATCTCTGCTCCGGGGAGATGCCTCTTTGCAGTCTGATTTACTTGAGGCAGTCTCTTCGGACTGTGGTGGCAATGGCCAAAAGTTTAGATCCTGCTACGGTTCAGGACTTGTTATGTCCCATGTGGAAACGTTATACCTCAAAAATTCTGTTCATATTTGTAGTCTTAGTCTGCCCTTTTTGGTCTCGTGTCTTTCTGGAGCGTATCTGATTAACTGGCTTACAAAACATAAATACTTGGTTCTAATTCAGAAGATACGTTGTCTAATGTTTTCAGTTGCCTTTTTTTTTTTTTTTCACCTTTTTCATTTTCTTTTCCTCCATTGCCCTCTATAGGTTGATAATTATTTTCCACTGGTACAATATACTGTTTTTGGAGATGGTGTGAGGACTGAACTCTCACTAGTGACAGAAATTCTCTTGATTTTCACTATACTGGAAGTGGTACCCCATCTGACTTAGGGATAAATTCCTCCTGAAGACCAGCCTGGCCTTACTGCTTCTAGTCCCAGTTCTGCCTCTGATCCATGGCATCCCTTTGGACTATTTGGTTAGCTTTTCTGTGTCTTGTTTTCACATTGTATAAAATAGGCATATTAATACATCTTTTTAACAAATTTGAGAGCAGCATACTCTTGGAATTTTGCTGGGACTTGTCCAATAAGGCTAAAATTATCAGCCTGTGCTTCATAGGTCCAGTACCATGGCAGTTTGGCCTCATTGGGAACCATGAGTATTGATTTGTGGTCTTCTGTTTGAACTACTAGTTTTGTGCTGCTTCTGTGTACGGTGTGGTTCCTCAGCCACATATGTTCTGTACACGAGAGCTGTGTAAGCCACAATCTGAGCAGAAAGATAGTGTGTTTATATGGTAAAAGGGAAGCCTGTACTTTTTTAGTGCAAGTAGTGTAACAGCTGCTTAGAAAAGGCTCCAAAGCCAGTTAAAGACGACCGAACATACGCAGTGTGCAGTGGAACGATATTCCGCAGTCCTGGAGCCTGGAAGTGTGATACACGGCACTCATTTTGGTAAACCACAAGAGCTCAGAAAGTCTCTTCTTGCAAAATCATCCACTTTGTATATGGAAGTGGACACACATGCCCAGAGTCATGGCTGTAGATTGACTGGCTTGCTTTATCATCAGTCATTTTTTAATCAGAAATCAAAATGAAGCTTGAAGACCAGCAGTTGAATTTGTGGTGAAGAAGAAAGAATGGTAGTGTTACTTTTCCAAGCTTGCTGCACAGACCAAGTTTCGCTTAAAAATAAACTGCCCCTTCTTGAAATCCCAGGAAGGAGTACAGCACGTGATAAATGGTGCAGATGTTCGGAATATGATCGTGCGTGTTCTTTTGATGACATACTCCAGTGCACTGTGAGACATCTTACTAGAACATGGCAAGATACCATATGTGAATCTGGTTTAAAGCACCATGTAGGAGTGTGTGCTTTCTTATTCCTCTCCAGAGCAGTGGATTCACTAGCTACAGAGATGGAGAACTGCAAATGACGTTTAAGAAAAAGGCCCAAGTCATGCCCTTTTTGGTGGTATTGTGCTTTAACTGGTATTAAGTGGGTGTCTGCTAGTTTATTTGTGCATCTTGCAGAGTGGCAGTCTTAATCTTCCATCTCCTTTGATAACTGCCTGCTTCTAAACTTTCTCTCTTTGCCAGCACACACTGTAACCATCAGGTTGTAGCCCAACATCTGGATATTTATGGTTCCCTGCTGGTTAAAGAGCCCACGACTACATCAGGCATGCTGCAGAATTGTTTTCTCTGGAATCACCTCTGTATGTTTGGCGAGCCTGTGACTGATTAGTCAGAGCAAGACCTTTTAAAAGGATGTTAACTCAAACATTTGCTTGAACAGTGTTTAAAGAACTGTTAAAGAACTTTCTTACCCATCTCTTTTTACAATATTGGCTCACATATAAGGCAGCCCTCAATTTTCAGAGAATAGGACTCAATACAACATAGTAAATTAATTAAACCCCATATAGTCTGCTTCCTCCATATCTCTCCCTCAGTTGCATAATCTGCTTGTTAGGTGCTCTGAAGGAACTGGGGCAGTCTGGGGGACTTGTCCTCAGATCAATGGTTGCTTGAGTACGCTGCTTCTGGAATCAGCAGTGGAGCCCAGGACTCCCAGCACAGGCCTTCCCTTTGCTCATCAGCAAACTGTCTGAGGCAGCCACTGGCAGGGGGGCCCCTTCCCATCTAGTTCTGGGACCCTGGGTGCAACAACCCATCACTCTCTGTGTCGCTGTTTGTTGACATGGTAGAGAGCAGCGCAGTGAAGCCAAAGCATCCTATCTCCTTGTAACCACTGTGATGCCAAAGCATGAAGTTTGTTTTATTTGGTTTATTGACTTAAAAAAAAAAAAATCAAAACTAAGTGTATCATGTATGTTTAGGCCTTCTACCTTCAAAGGACAGAGCATGCTGATGGAAGAGTTGCCAAGTGACTGATTTCAGCCCCTGGAGCATACACCTAGCGTAATGGTCCTTGCAGGTTTCCAGTATTACTTGGTGTGCAGAATGCAGCTGTTCAGTGTTTTGTTCTGTCCTCACTCCTCAGTGTGTGTTAGGTACATCATGCTGTTCAGACCCTCAGCTGAACATGGAGGTATGAGTGTTCCCTTGGGCTTCCCAGTGATACTCAGCACTACCATTGTCGTGTGCTTCACAAGTGGTAATTGATGAGTTGTTACTATCTCTGGTTCACAGGTAGGGAACTTAAGGTGCAAAGAGATTAAGATAAAAGTGACCATAATTTGGGGTACTGGTTTTACAAGCCGTGAATATGATTTTCAGAAAAGTTAGCATTATTTAAGAATGATAAGTGTAAAAGATTATGATATTGAAACTGTAATTGTATAACATTTCTGCGGAGCAGAAGTTCTGCTCTTTAGCATCCAGATCCCAAGCCAGGTGTGAGGAAGAGTAGGAACGTACAATTGATGACTGCCTGTGGAAACTTGATTTATAAGATTTGCCCTGTGTCACATAGAGACGTGATAGCACAGGAAGAAATACAGTCCATTTTTCCAGAACTATATTTGTCTTCTTGATCTCTAAATCATATTCCCTCTTACTTTGCTACTAGTTTTCTAACTTGTACAGGAAATAATATGGGGGTTTTGCTGATAGCATTAGCAGTAGAGGGAGCAGAAGCCTGGCACCTTGACCTCACCCTGACGACTATCCAGAGCACCAGTCATCTGTGCGACTGAATGGAGGCAGAAATCCTGCAGCAGCGGCTGTGCAGGTCATATGTGCTGTGACTGTATTCGCCTGTATTCACAAGGTTTATTTCATGGGCAACCTGATTTTTGAGCATGTGATGTATTAATAATACGTCCTATAAAAAGTACCCTTTTAGCGCACCATTTGAGAGCTATTTTTAAAAAATGTATAGCAAAAACGTGCTCTTACAGGAAGTCTGAAAGCTCTTGCTCTGCTTGGAAAGTCTTAAAACAAGTTTATTCCTGAAGAAAATAAATCCATGTTTATCGTAGTGGTTTTATTTCTTAATGAAATACACTCAGGAACTTTTCTGTATGATACTCAAGACCATCTTTGTGCTTCAGTAATATAATTAATGTTCTCAGAAAATAGGATATGGGTAGTTAAACTGGAGAAAGGAAACCATTTTATTCAGTGATGTGAAGCTTCGCAGAACAAATCAGGGTAACTCATGAAGAATCCATGCTTTCCCATCTGAGCAAAGATACAGTAAAAGATGGGTGACTAGATTAACTGCTCTTAGTGGTAAATACAACTACAGCTATATATGGCTATTTCATGTCAAGTAGGTGAGACTCTTTGAAGTAAAGTCATTTGTTTTCCTTATGAGAAGGGAGATTGAAAACTAAAGTAAGCCTGTGTAAATTCCTGACGCGTCATCTAAGCTCCAAACTAACTGCGACTGTCTGGTGGGGACATGGCAATCCAGAAGTGCCCAGCTAATGCCTCTGCAGATTGAGAACCCATTTATCACCATGATCGATGGAGTGCAGCAGCACAAGGGAGGCTTATTTGCAGAGCATAACACTGGCTCGCTTGGGCAGCAGGTCAGTTCTTTCCTCAGCTCAAACAAGGAATTAAATTCTAGTTGGCTGCAGCTCTGCTGTATGGGCACTGTATCACGTGAGACCTGTGTGCACCACCAAAGGAGCTTCTTGGAGGCCTCCAAACAGTTCACTCCGTAGCAGATGGCATCTGAACAATCGGCTGAGAAGATGCAATGCTCTCTGTATCCGAATGCCTGCGGCCGGGCTCTGTGTGAGCTGTATGTGCAGCAAATGTGAGGAAATTGGTGTTCAGATAAACATAGCCTCCCTGAGAGTGCTCAGCTGCCCCAAGCTGCAGAAGGACAGAAAGCTTGGCAGTGGAGCTGCTGGCAGGGTGAGCAGCCAGAAGACTCTGCCACCGCTGCCCCCACATCCTTGCTGTTGATGTTGCTGTTGGAGGCACACGCAGCCTGCAGTCATACCTTGTTTTCCATACATACATGCCCTGAAATGAAATATGAAACAGTGCAACAACTCTGGCTCCCGAGTTAAAAATTAAGTAGCAGCTGAACTGTTAGAAAAGTACTTACGCTGAGGAGGAAGAGGAGGAGGAAAAAAATCACTGAGAAGTAATTTTACTTCAATGATGGCCTTGGGGTTTGGAAGAGTTTCATTGTGTGGCTTCTCTGCTTCATTTTTAGCTACCAAATAGTGTGTCAGTCTGCTAAAGATGCAATTGGGGTGGACTTAAGCAGGAAGAAGAGAATAGAGAGGTAACCATCTTACTCCTTGGTGTAGTTTGCATCCCACATCACAGGACAGGTAAAACTGAGCAGATCTTTGATTGTGACAGTCAGCATCCCACATTAAACATTCCGCCAGTGATACTTGTCCGTACGCGACCTCTGACTTCAGCGCACATTTCTGTTGTGTTACCAGCAGGATGGTAATTCCTTCGCTGCTGTTGGGGAAGAGAATTGTGAGATCTGCCTCGTAATAACGCCACAGACCTTCCCCACTTCAAAGCAAAAATGCTGCTCTTCTTCAGAAAGGACTGTGGAAGTCCATTAGGTCAGAAGAAACTCGGTTTGAAGAAAAGAGTTTGTCAAATATCCACAACTCCTTGGCAGCAGGAGAAGATTTTTGTGCAAGACAGATGATATCTACTGAAATATGTTCTTACTTTTTCTCGCCAAGAAATCTTACCCCCTTCTCATTCTGATGACAGGAAAAAAACTCCCTCTACTGAATGCATTTCAAGGGAGTCGTTCCTTGCTGTGCTTTTGAAATTAATGGCTAAGCTGAATTCTTACATACTTAATCAGTTTCTTTCCTTCATACCTGCTGTTGTCACCACAGCCGTCGAGTGCAGGGAATCAGGCAGCCTTGCGCTGGATGAGCATCGCATTGTTTGTCTAACTGGAGCCTCATGGCTTTTCTTTATATATATATATA